GATACATGCCAAAGAAGAGGAAAACAAAAGAAAACACAATTATTACAACCTATCCCAGTAGGAGATCCTTTTTATCAGATAGGAATTGATATTGTTGGACCTTTACCCCAAACTCCAAGAGATAAACGTTACATTGTTATTACTACTGACTATATAACAAAATGGCCAGAAGCTCGAGCCCTTAGTGAAGCAACTGCAAGTAAAGTTGCTAAATTTATATTTGAAGATATCATTTGTCAACATAGTTGTCCTCATATAATTCTGTCTGACCGAGGAACCCACTTTAGAAACAATATGATAGCTAATTTATTAGCTCGTTTTCATATTAAACATTTATTCTCTACACCATATCACCCGCAAACAAATGGATTAGTAGAACAATTCAATAGAACTTTATGTGAATCACTTGCTCGCTCCACTGAAACTGTTACCGATTGGAATATAAATATTCCTTCTGTACTGTTTGTCTGCCGAACAGCAAAACAAGCTACTACCAAAATTGAGCCCTTTTATCTTATTTATAGAAGACCTGCCTATATGTCTGTTATAGAAGGAATTGAATATGCAGAAGAAAATCTGTTAACTTGCCTATTTCACCTAGTGAATGAATTTCAAAGGAGAAAGAGAGTACAAAAGCTAGAATCAAAGTTAATTAACAAAAACAAAAACACTATCATGACCAAAAAGTTAAGATCATCATAACACATAAAATAGGTGACAAAGTTTTAATGTATAATGCAATAAAAGATAAAAATTATTCTGGTAAACTAGAACCAAACTGAAAAGGACCTTATTATATTCATACAGTATCACATCCTGGTGTGTACAAATTGAGAACCTTAGATAGAAAAATTCTAAAAGCACCAATTAATAGCTCCCTATTAAAAAAATATAATAATAGAAATTCTTGAATACCACAAATTACAATTGAGTAACATAATACCATCCAAACAAGTTAACGGCGTAACCTTATTTTCTATAAAACTACTAGCTCCTCAGAGTATTTTCCTTTTTCCAAGTATCATTTAATTAATTTGAACATATAGAAAATATTACAATACTATGCAGATTTAATTAGAATTGGAAGTTACACCGTGAGGCAAATTGATAGATTTTATAATTTAAACCATACCTGGGAAGTTTCTGCTTAGCATGTATATCAACAATTACAAAATGCTATGAATTCTCATAATAGAATCATGACTTTGGTATACTGTTACTATTTGGGAGAACTGGTTCAATTTTCAGTAACTCCTAAAGCAAAATGGAAAAAATTTATTCAAGATAATCAGATTCCAAATCATTATTATTTGTATCGAGGAATCACCAGAATTTACCAACTCTTTGAGAAGAATTCAAATCAAATGTATTGTACCATGACTTTGACTTATAACGTTATTTCTGGGATGAAAGTTTCTACATTTAATGAGTTGTTAAGATACAACAACGATCTTAATGACCTTGTTGACAATCTCGAGTTATCATAAGATGGAACTTTATGATTAAATTGGGGAG